TGTGATTCCACGTCCCCAGAAGGTTGCTGGTACCCTCCTTGCTACCTTTCTGCAGACAGGAAAATATTACTCTGGCAAGTGTACAAAGACTGCTCAAAGGAAAAGGGCATTGAATATTGTGCTGAATTTTCTATTTACTGTTCTCCTTTTAATGGTTTATGTTTTTAGCAGGTTTAAAACACTTGATTGTTTAATTACATTTTCAACTTCATATGTCATGGATTTTCTTTTAGCTAAATTTGTTTTAATTCTTAAGTCCTGAACTGGGCATTGGTGGTTAATAATAATAATAATAATAATAATAATAATAATAATTCCTGAGAAATTGACAAGTGCAATTACTTTTTGAAAAGCCTCCTCACTTGTAACTACTTTTGAAACCTTGGAACTCAAACTGTAACTAATTAGAATTAAAATTACTTTCAAAGTTCTGATTGAGCATATTAACCAGTTCACCCTGGAGCTTACATAGCTAATTTCCCCCATCAAGTACTTTCAATGGTAAAGGGTTCCCGCCCCCCCGCCCCCCAAGAAAAAGATACGCAAGGGTGAGAAATTTAGCACAGTTGCCTTCCACATGCCCTACTGTGCCTAATACAACCAGTATCCCTGTCTGGGATGAGTAGTTATTCTGCTCCTTTGCTCCCACTCATTTAATTTAGGAATATGCTGCCAAGGTCTGAGAAAGGTTGCAATTTGAGGAAGGTTGCCTTAAGTTGCAATCCCAAACACACTTGTTAACTAGGAATACATCCCATGGAAAACAGACTTACTTCTAAGTAAATGCACACAGTAAGTAAATGGACTGAACTAGGGGAACAAAGCTCTATTTTTGTACCCACCTGAAATGGATTCTTGACTATAACCCGAAGAGCTGATTTATTTTAAAGGTCACTTTTGCTAAAGAGCAGTGGTTTATATAACTGTAAAATACCCTCCGGTTTGAATTATGGAAAAGAGCAACGGGGAGAGTGCAAAGCTGTTCCCACCCTTGCAAAAACTTTCTGCTCAGCTCTCAGATTTTAGAGAAATGGTTGAGTTGTCCTTTATTCCTGCTCGAGGGAAAGGCTGCAGTTTTCTGATCCATTTAGCTGGATTCCAGGGACAGACGTCTTGGTGAATGTAATGCCTTTGGGTCTGCACGCATGTGAGGACTTTCAATGCTCAGGGGACCCTTGCACGCAGACTCTCCTTCTAAAATGGTTAAACCACAAGGATGCGGTAATGGATCAGACTATTCCCTAAGGAACACATGATACATTATAGAACAGCTAGGTGAAATCAAGCCTCAGGGATCCTGTCTTCCCTGCAAGCCACCCTCGAGGAATGTGTGCAGGAGAGATACCTTGCAGCAAAGATTAGATGGGAGAAAGAGGTGGATAAAGGGCTTCACCTTCTCTAGCTAAGCATTTTTCCCCAACCCAAATGTATTGCATATGCTTTTCCTTTCAGGGTTCCAGACCAGTGGCAGGAAAATACACATGGATGTAGAAAGCTGATGTATGTAGGAAGGTAGTGGTGATAACAATAGTTGGGAAAGCTTCTGGAGAAACTTTTCTATCAGAGGTCAAGCATTTCCTTCCATTCTCTAGCTAAACATTAGAGTTCTGAGGGCACTGCAATGTAAACAGTCTATGTGATGGCTCAGCACATGAAATGCAGAACTAGAAAATCCCTAACAGCTAAAAGATGTCATTCTTTGTTAATTTCACTCTCAAAGGAAACAATGAATAGCACTAGCAATTTTCTTCCACCCGTGAGAATGTCTTCAAAGAACATTTGGTTATGCCCCCCCCCCCCAATGTTGTTGACAACAACTTCCACTTGTTCTAGACAGCACAGTAATGAGTGAAGCATGCTGGGAGCTGTAGTCCAACAACAACTGGGTAGCTGGATGATTCCCACTCATGAATAATACTTAGCTTAGGTCATTTGTTCAGGGGTCAAATGATGTGGGTTTGATAAATGTTTGAAAATACAGTATGCATTGACTGTGCTATTTAATTTTGTAGATCCTTCTAATGTTTGCACTTTATCATAGAATCAAAAAGTTGGAAGAGACCTCATGGGCCATCCAGTCCAACCCCTGCCAAGAAGCAGGAATATTGCATTCAAATCACCCCTGACAGATGGCCATCCAGCCTCTGTTTAAAAGCTTCCAAAGAAGGAGCCTCCACCACACTCTGGGGCAGAGAGTTCCACGGCTGAACGGCTCTCACAGTCAGGAAGTTCTTCCTCATGTTCAGATGGAATCTCCTCTCTTGTAGCTTGAAGCCATTGTTCTGCGTCCTAGTCTCCAAGGAAGCAGAAAACAAGCTTGCTCCCTCCTCCCTGTGGCTTCCTCTCACATATTTATACATGGCTGTCATATCTCCTCTCAGCCTTCTCTTCTTCAGGCTAAACATGCCCAGTTCCCTAAGCCGCTCCTCATAGGGCTTGTTCTCCAGACCCTTGATCATTTTAGTCGCCCTCCTCTGGACACATTCCAGCTTGTCAATATCTCTCTTGAATTGTGGTGCCCAGAATTGGACACAATATTCCAGGTGTGGTCTAACCAAAGCAGAATAGAGGGGTAGCATGACTTCCCTAGATCTAGACACTATGCTCCTATTGATGCAGGCTAAAATCCCATTGGCTTTTTTGCTGCCACATCACATTGTTGGCTCATGTTTAACTTGTTGTCCACGAGGACTCCAAGATCTTTTTCACAGTACTGCTCTCGAGCCAGGCATATTACAATGAGGATATTACAATGCTTTGAATGCAATTTTCCTGCTTCTTGGCAGGGGCTCAATGGCCCACGAGGTCTCTTCCAACTCTATGATTCTATGATTCAATGATTCTAGGAGTTAGCATGGTGTAGTGGTTTGAGTGTTGGACTAGGGTTCCGGGATATTAGGGGTCTAAATCCCATTCTACTATGAGAACCCACTGGGTGACCCTGAGCATGACAAACCTTCACTGAATAATTCTATGATGGAGTCACCCTACATCAGAGTCAAATTGAATGCATGTAACAACAAGAACAAAAATGAATTAAATTAAATGCAGAATTAACTTCTGGTAAAAGGGAAGCAAGAAGCCAGCATGGTGTACTGGTTAGAGCTCAGGACAACAACTCTGGAGACCAAGGTTTGTTTCCATGCTTAGCCAAGCCACACTCTCTAAGACTCAGAGGAAAGCAAAGGCAAACCCTGTCTGAACAAATCTTGTTAAGAAAACCCAAGATACCCTTAGGGTTACAATGAGTCAGAGAAGACAAGAAAGCACGCAACAGCAACAATAACAACAGGCATTCTTCCATTATGCATAAGAAACATGGATTTTGAGGGAAACATTTAGCACATTCCAGCAGCTACTCACAAAGTATTACAATAACTGCCACTCATTTGTTTAAACACACTTTTAAAATCATCTTTACTCAGGAAACAAGTATTCACTAATATATTGGAACTCTACAAATATGAATGTTAAAACTTTGACCACTAGATGTCGACACCTTTCACTCAATTGAAGAGGGGAAAAGGATGATGCTTCTCCTCCACCTCCAAGAAACTGAATATTGGGAGCTGCAAAGGCTTGTGTAGAATGCAATTATCTGTCAAAAAGGGAAAGTTGTAAGGAGAGACATAGGCTGGCATCTTGTTAGTGACATGCACACACATTAAGTGCAGCTTACACATCCCTCTAAAACTTTTTTGGATGTGCACATGGGATTATTCTATTACCCTTAGGCTCCATCTCAGTACTCTCTCCTAGGCAGCTGCCAAGTCCTGGAAGAAGCTGCTTCTGCTTCTTCTTCTAGGTGGGAAGAGGAAAGATTGGGAGGAAATTCAGACTGTGAAGATATAGGTTGTTGTGTATTTTCCAGGTTGTATGGCCATGTTCCAGAAGCACTCTCTCCTGGCATTTTGCCTGCATCTATGGCAGGCATCTTCAGAGGTTGTGAGGTCATAGTTGTTCAGGTTTCCCAAGGCAGCAAGAAGAAGGAACACTCCATCCATGAGTGCACTCTTATTTCCCCCTTCACCAAGCAGAGTTCAGCTGCTGCTTCGTGGTCTTGGTTTGAAGCATTCCAGATTCACTGCACACAACAAGCATTGGCTGAGAGGCCTGTGCATCAATGTAGCACTGAAACAAGGTCAGGGGGAAATCTATCCCATTTCTGTTTTTTCCCATAAGTCCTCAGGATACCCCAGAGCAAAAAATGCCCCAATTTTCTTTTGGAAGCAAATGGTTTTTCATATCCCTGTTTGTTTTTTGTTTGTTTTAATTTGGGGATGCTTTTCAGAAACACCCCATATGACCAAACCAGGCAAGACTGCTCCCAGGTCTAGTGGGTTTGTTTCTCTTATCCTTCATGTTTCCCAAACTGTTTGTGTTGGCTCAAAATAGCCAATTAAAACATCCGTTCATCTCTCAGAAGCTATTCTACATTCCAATATACACTATGAAGTTTGGGAAGAGTTCAAATGCACATCTTTCTGATCTTTCACAATATTTCCAGGAATCAAACCAGCTTTGCTCAGCCCTTGTTTTCACACATGACACTATATCCTTCAATATTTGGGTCATGCAAAGTTCAGCTTATATGAGTTAATTTTGATGAGCCTACAATTAACAAGATTCAGAGACAAGTTGGGAAAAACTTGAAGGCACACAACAAACAAACTTTCCACAGAAAAACTCAGAACGAAGATGGTGGGATGGAGAGGGAAACAGATCTGTGTTATGCAGCTTTCTTTTTCTCTTTTTTTTGCCACAATCATTTCATTTCCTCCAGAAGAAACCAGTTGCCAGATAGCTGTGCCTCTTCATGAATCATTTCTCACAACCCCCACCGCACCATTTTTATTTGCTGAAAGTCTTTGTTACACAGTGATCTATCAAGTTCTTTCTATCTGCCAAACCAGCAAACAGAGACGAGCCGTATCAAATGTCCATGAATTACAAACACGTTGTGTGTCCATACATCATTGCGCTGATGTATTGATACTTACGGTGCTGGCGGTGAATTCGGGTGGGTTGTCATTCACATCTGTCACCATAATGATTGCCGTCGCTGTGTTAGAGAGACCATAGTTAAGATTTCCTTCCATATCTGTGGCCTGAACGATGACTGTATACTGTTGAACTTTCTGGAGAGGAAAACAACAAAAGGGACATGAAAGATGTGAATTATTGTGCATTCTTTCTGTGCTGGCAATTTTCATAACACCCCAGTGAGCTATCTCCCCATTCCAAATGTTTTCCTAGGACACTCCTCACACCCCACACTCCCATTATCAGCATTCCTCTTATTGCAGAAAATAACAATAACATAATAGCTGGGAACCTGCTGGGGTCCTGCATCTTTGTGAGTAAGCTTACATCTGCAGGGATTAGAATTAGTCAATTATATGATATATGTGTCCAGTAAGAAGTTGCTGTTACCTTACTACAGTAAAGTGGCTGGCGCAAAATGGGACTAATGTCACATTCAGAGCTGATTTCACCCTGAAGCTGGGATACATTGATTGCAGCACATTTTTGGCTAAACTGGGACTTTCCTGGAGCTTTTTAAAAATAAAGATCTGTATCATCCTTGATGTGCATTGCAGCACACATTAGTGGAGTGTGCTTTGTGGTCACAAGTCAGATTCAAACAGCATTATATGGTCAATGTAGAAGCACCCTGTGATAGAGGATTTCAGCTATTAGTACTTCCATGTTTTCATCCCAACCCACAATAAATGAAGTGGGAGGGAAAGAAAGGTGAAGCTTCATTCTCAATTGAAGATCAGTCTGGAAACATGGGGGACCTGAAGACATCAGGGGTGCAGCCATGGCCATGATTCACTCAGCCCATAGAAGAGTCCTGGGAGTTGGGAATCTGATCTTCCCTATTCTAAAGTGATTTCCAAGCATGCTTCTCAACCACAGGAAAAATCAGAAGGAAATATGTCACAAGGACAACAAGAGAGAAATGTTTTCCATGCTCAAATCCACTAAGGAAGATGTGAGAAATTTTGGTAGACCTGGGCATTAATTACAGTCCCATCCCTGACATTTCACTGTGAGCAATTAAGACAATTTTAAAAAATTATAAAGAAAATTCACCATGAGCTTCATAACCCACACATTTCGTGACATAGTTGAAAACAAAACATAAAACACTCCTTGTTGAAATTGCCTTTCAGCACAAAACAAGCTGCTCAGTAGACACAAGCTTCATTTTCTCCCATGTACAACTTGTTGTTGTCCAGAAGAAAGACTTAATTTTTGACAGTTTCAGAAAATCATTTAAATATCTTCAAATGGAGCAGGGGAGGGGCTCTAGAAGTCACAAAAATGGCCTGGGGCTTGATTCCCCCACCCAATCCTAAGACAATACCAAAGTTTTTGCAGTCACTTCTGTGTTTTCAATGTGAAGTGAGCACTACCAGGTTTTGTGCATTCAGTGTCGCAACCATTTCAATCCATTACAACTATTTCTGGGGCTCGGCATTTCTAATAGAAGGAAGGGAGGGAAAATACATCCTTCCTTTCTTTGCATCAAAGAACTGAAACACCAAGCAGTCTTCCGGTGTGGCTTCTTTCTTCTATTTCAACTTTGCAAGTTTTCTGTTCTACCTTGTTTGTAACATGACCCCTACAAAGTAGTTGGTAGGCTCAGAGGTCATCACTTACAGATTTATCAGTTAGAACAACCTGGGACTGTCAAAGCCGTTCCCTGCTCATGTCTTGCCTCTAGCTAGGGCATAGCAAAGGCGATGCGGTTTCTGTGTCAAATGTAATTCAGAAACTCATGACGCTGTTATGCAAACTTTTATCTGAACCTGAAAGTTGGACTGCACGAGAGGGTCATGCTAGGGCACGGAAATCTTTCTGATACAAAGACTACAGACTCTAAGCATGTACTTTGGTAAAGCTGTATAACATTCTAGAATGCTTTGCCAGGACAAACTTGTTTGAGGATTGTTGTTACATGCGACAATCCTGCATCAATTTACTTGGAGTAAGCCTCATGGAATTCAATAGAAATTATTGTTAAAATTTGCATAGGTTATGCAATTATTATTTTACATTTCCTTTTGCAACCCAGCCATCTCCTGATTTGTGTTCTGTTCCTCAAACTTTTTGAGAGTGTAAAACTATGTGCAGTAGAACTGAGAAAAGACATCATAAAGTCTCATGGTAAAGACTTTAATAACAACTGTTCATTGTCTTGCCATGTTTTTCGTCTATCTCTCCTTTTGAAAAATCACATTATTCATGAAAGATAATGCTATGAGTGTTACCATCTAGGTATTAAGACTTCTGTATCTCAACAAGCTCAGACATTAACACTACAGCAGTGCTTCTCAACTTTCCTAATACCGTGACCCCTTAATACATTTCCTCATGTTGTGGTGCCCCTCAACCATAAATTTATTTTCGTTGCTAATTCATAACTGTAATTCTGCTATTGTTGGGAATTATAGTGTAAATATCTGATATGCAGGATGTGTGTTCATTCACTGGACCAAATTTAGCACAAATACACAATACACTCAAATTTGAATACTGGTGAGGTTGCGGGGGGGGGGGGTTGATTTTGTCATTTGGGAGTTGCAGTTGCTGGGATTTATAGTTCACCAACAATCAAAGAGCATTCTAAAATTGACCAATGATGGAATTGAACCAAACTTGGCACATAGAACTCTGATCACCAACAGAAAATACTGGAAGGGTATGGTGGGCATTGACCTTGAGTTTTGGAGTTGCAGTTCATCTACATCCAGAGAGCACTGTGGACTCAAAACAATGATGGATCTGGATCAAACTTGACATACAAACCCAACATGGCTAACTGTAAATACCAGTCGTATTTGGGCAGGATTGACCTGCGATTTTGGGAGTTGTAGTTCACCCACATCCTTATGCATTTTCTAATGGGAGCATTAATAAAAACACAAATGGCATGCCTGCTCTCTCCTCCCCACTTGGAGTCTCAGAAACAGCCCTCCCCTTTGCTGAAAGGCCAGTTGAGAGGCTGGCCAATCACAGCAGGAGGAGAGCTTTTGGTCGGAGGATTTGCTGTCTGTTTTCAAAAAGGAAGAGAAGGATAGTCAGAGAGATCTTCAGCTTTCTCTGCCAAAGGGGTTCCTAAGACCATTAGAAACATGTATTTTCTGATGGACTTTGGTGACCCCTCTGAAACCCCCCTCATGACCCTCCCCCTGGGTTGAGAAATGCTGCACTAGAGACTTAGGAAGGGGGAGAGAGATGGAGAGAAAGATGAACACAAATAATAAAGAACAGCTTTCTTTGCAGTAGCTTGCTCTTCAATGCCTGGTACAGCTGTGGTGCAGGTAGACCTTGGAAAAGTTACTCTTTTGGACTATTAACTCTGGGCTCCCCTAGCTGCTGGCTTTGCTGTCAGGTGAATTTTGGGAACTGTAGCTCAAAAAGTAATTTCTTCAAGCTGGGCCACCACCACAGCTACTGCTCTCCTGTAATTTCAACTGCATTCCTCTGAAGATGAAAATAAGATTGTGACCAGAATGCAGCTGGTGTCATATGTATGTGTAAGCTCCTGTGTGGATGTCGTTGCACATTTTTGTCCAAGGAGGAATGTCTTGCAGATTTGAGGCAGCAGAAACAGATTTGTACATGCAAGGAGATGTACATCTTTTTTCAGTTGTGCATTTGTTATACATTCAGAGGTAGATTTAGTTCACCATTCAATGTAAAGCTTGCATAATGCAATCAATGTGTAACTCTACATGCTGAGATTTGCACTATGCAATCCTGATATGGGATCTCAGATAATATGTAGGCTTATTTTTCTCTCCTTTGAAAGGCCAACAGGCAGTGCCCCAGGAGCTAGTACTGGCCCAATGTCTGTCTGTTATTGACCCTGAGTCTAGTAGTTCTCATAAATTTGAAAGGGAGCTTTCGGGCTTACAAAGCCGAATCATCTGTCAGTGACCAAAATCCACTGACATTGATAACACAGGAATGTTTTAGACCAAAGATTAAATAAGAGTAATTTCCTCATGTGGAAGGCCAAAGGACTTAGAGATGGTCCTGAAAAGCATAGAATACTCCTGTATTTTGGAAAGTAATACAAAATAAATAAAAGTGGTCCTGTAATATATTAGCCATCAAATACTATTTTATTTTGTGTGTCTAGAGCTTGGGTTCATAAGGGATAGCAATTTTAGATAAGCCCTTTCAGTTATCTCTAATTAAATCACCACTGAGGCATGTCCCAATATGTGAGCAATTTGGGCTAAAAGCCCCTCCCAGCACTAACTTGGTCATGCTTGTGCATTAAGCTTATTTTATTGAGCCATTCAGGAAATTACCATTTCAATGTGTCTTTACAATTTGTCACACTATTTCTCTGGGAAAGCCCCCACCTCTCTGGTTAGTAGCTTGTAGTTGTTAAAGCTGTATGAAACAGAAAAGAGCAATGCATGAGACCCACATTTTGCAAAGACTTAAGCAAAACTCAGGTTCATAGGTCAAGGGTATTATAGGGAACTTGTGCTATCAGGTTGTTGAATAAGCTTGCTAAAAGATAGACTAGCATTCTGTTAAAGACCCATGCAGGAAAAAATGTTACTTATTAGTGTGGCGGATAGAGAGGCTCATCCCCTCCACTCTCTATGAGTCCCTTCTTGAGCCACTTACAGTTGGCCCTCCATATTCACAGATTCTGCATCCATGGATTCCACAATCCAAGGAATAAAAATACCCCAACATCCTCCCAAAAACAAGCCTTGATGTTGGCATTTTATATAAAATAAACCATTTTCATATAACTTTGTATATAATGGGACTTGAGCCTCAATGGAAGTAAACCCTGGCAGATACCAAGGGCCCAATGTAATTTTGGCTTGGTACCCCTCCCACTGCTATTCAGTTCTCAGGAAATGTGATATGAATGAAAGACAACCATTAGACTCTATTCCTGCAGTCATTCACCACTCACCACCAGGTCCAGGAGAATATCATCATCTTTCTGCAGCAAATGCAGGAAAAGAGCCGACTGGCTGTGTGGCTGTCCTCACCCTTCCTCTGCTACCCCTGTCCCTGGCAGATGGCCATCCAGCTTCTGCTTGAAAACCTTCAGAGAAGGAAACTACCATGCTCCGAGGCAGCATATGCC